CAATGCTTTCCTTTATTCTTGTTCACCATGCTATGACAAATGTTACATTTGTGCTTTTTATTTTCATATAATATGTTTTAGCTTATATTATCAGAAGGGTCATATTATCATTCTGGAAGGGGTATGCAGATGTCTACCTAATATATTTGGTCGCTAATATATGGCTAGGTGATAGGCATAAAGCATGCTAGAATTTGGATTACAGGATAGACAATCCCCATGCATTTACTCTGTAGAGTAAGAACAATAAAACAGAAAGTGCAGTTTCATAAGAGTTACAGCAGCAGAAGGTTAGTATGTGATAAAAGTGTGTGGAAGAGAAGGTCCAAATGTTGGTGGTGAAGGACTAGGGTGTAGTCAGAAAAGAACCCTTGTTGGAGTGCTACTTAAACTGAGCACCAATGGAGACTGGGACGTTCTTTAATTAGAGGAAGTTTCCTACTCACAGTAGAAGCAGAACCCTCAATAAAGAGAAGAGGGAGCAAAAGAAATTTAACATGTTGGATCACAGAAGAGAAGTTAGTGGATAATTGAATTTAATAAGCAATTAACAACTTATCTCTTTTTTTAGAAAAATAATATTGGGTTCATATTTTGACTTGAGATGATGAAGTTTACACTTTCAAAAGGCTAATAATTTTAATATAATTTTCACATTTTCTTTTCTCTTTTCTCTCCATATTTTGTATAATGGGATTGCTGAAGGTTTATCAGTCTTCTACTTAATTAGCTTTCACTGATTTGCTACAAAATTTCTGTTTAATTAAGACAAAAATATTCAATATTTAGTGTTTTAGTTGGTTTATCGATCAATCTTCATCACTTTGGAATACAGGCAGAAGTGAACAAATTTCTAAGAAGGAAATATTGATTAATAAATAATGAAAAGTTTTGGAAAATGTGTACACACTGAAAATATAATATGCATCGTTTATTATTGAATTGTGTTTTGCTTTTAACTCAAACTGTTATTTCCCTTGTTTTCAAGTTGCTGATGTTATGGTCAGCTTCTGGAGTATTGAACTGAATCTCTAAACTTCGAAAGAAGATGGAAAGAATATAGTGTACCGAAAAGAACTAGTCAATATTCAACCATTTCAAGAGTTAGCATATGATCGTGAACTGATGATACTGAAGAAAGACTTTCAAGCTGCACTGAGAGTGGGTTAGCCAGAAACAAGGGTCCAGGAATTGACAGAGTATCAATTACAATGTTTCAACAGCTGAGGACGCACTGGAAGCGGGCACTCATCTATGTCAAGAAATTTGGAGGAAAGCTACCTGGCCAATGGATTGAAAAAGATCCAATATACCCGTTCCAAAGAAAGGTGGCCCCACAGAATGTAGAAATTATGGAACAATA